ATACAGCTCCCAAAAAATTTACCAACGACTTTTTATTTCAGCAAAAGATTGACGATTGTTCAAAAATGTTGCTATAGTAACCGAAAAAATACCGAAATATATAGATCTTAACCCTTATGTTAGTAACCAACTTTACCGACGTCCTTTAGAAACCGGGTACCGGGGTACCCACGATCTGAGTATTATTATTATTTTGTTTATTTTATTTAAAAAATCTTCTAACAAATTTTTTCCTCCAAATATTAATAGTCAGTGACAATTTAAAAAAAAAACAATAACAACGTAGAATAAAAAAAAAAATTAAAAAAATGAACTCACAAATAGCTTTCTTTTAAGTTAAAAAACGACGATTTGAGAGCTTAAAATTAAATATTAAATTTTTTTAAGCTATTCACACAAATATACCGCGGTGGGTACCCGGGTACCCGGTTACTAACATAAGGGTTAAATTTGCTTTTTCGCCACAATCAACGAATTCAAAAGAATTATCTAAACCTATCCCAACTCACCCTAGTTCTTAGTTGTATTTTTATAGCATAAAAAGAAAACGATCTATATTTATTTTGGACCGGTCAGTTTGAATGGCAACTATATCCTAAAGTTGCCCGATTCTTTGGAGATTATAGCGATGCCTTTGGCCCGTTCGTTCCGTTCCGTTCGCTCAGTTAGTATGGCAGCTTTATGCTATAGTTGCCAGATATCGGTTCCCGATATCGATTCCGGCAAATGAGCAGCTTCTTGATGAGAAAGGAACGGGTGCAAATTACAGAAATACGGGTATGGCTCATCCCGCTGATCATTTATATATATATACGTTATAGGGTCTCCTCGTTTCTTTTTGGTTGTTATAAACATCGTGGCAAACTTACAGGGTATATATGTTCAATGTATAAAAAAAGATCCAAGTAGTTTTTAAATGCGTGGTATGAATTTGGTAACATGACATGTTTAACTATCATTACAAGTAGTACACAGTTTGACACCTAACCTTAAATTGTAATATTCCAAACTAGTATTTGGGTAATTTACTTATTGTGAAAACGGCGTTCGGGAGCTAATGATATTCAAATAAAACTTTTCCTTTAAATTTTGACTATCCCAATCAGTATTTAATAATTCAAAACTTGGATTAGCATACTCCATATTTATTAAATTTATACCAACTATTTTATACTTTAGATAATTTACTTATTGTGAGAATGGTTCATTAGTCTCCTCAGAAGCTAATGATATTCATCTGAAACTTTAACTTTAAAATTTTCATGCTCCTAAATAGTGTTTTATAATTCGAAAATTGAACTAGCATACACTATATTTAGCTCATTAGTCTCTATGTATGTGTTATGAACATATTTTATCAGCTAGTAGTGCGCGCTCTTCCTAATGATTTTCTCTAACAGGCATTTTTGACTGCTGAAGTCATAGTTTGCAGTATCAAATAACTTTTCTGAAATAATTGTTTTTGTAACAACGGAATTTTTGCTCTACTACTGGTCCAGTGACGTAATTTTTCACTGCGGCCTCTCTTCTTACTCAGTTCTCAACAAAGCAAACAGCATAGCTATTTGTCAAACGTCAGCTGTTGTTTATGACACTTTCAATGAATTTCTAAATATATAACGATAATTTAGCAAATTGTCAAAGTTTATGTGCAAAACTTTGATTGTAAAGTTAAATAGTTTATTGCTGAATAAATTACTTAGCAAGAGATAATAAGTACCGGCGCAATGTGGGGCCACGCGGGGGGGAGACGCGGGGGGGAGACGCGGGGGGGAGACGCGCGCCGCGTATTATTTGTTTTAGAAAAATTTTGACTCCAAGCTAAATTGTGTGATTATGTCTTTTAAAAGTAAAATGCAAATTCTAAATACAAGCAGGGTTTTTTACTTTTTTTAATTCGCATTTCGCTTACAAGAGATACAGTTATCAAATAGCCAACGAATATTAATTATGCAATTTATCTTAACAGCACGATATAATGATATGCCTATGGCATATTGTTGCCATTTTGACAGCAACAACTGACAGCTGCAACGAGTACGCGCAAGGCTATAGTGATGCCGTACGTCGAAAAACGTCAGCGGGCGTCAAATTGCAACGCTGTAAATTGCATAAGTATTTGTACGTTTGTGGGCAATGGTGTGAGTTCAAGCGTAAATAATGCAGTGTGTGAAAAGTAAACAAAACATTAAAGATGTTGAAAAATTAATCAAAACAATTATGAACGGAAAATCAAAAAAGATAAATGGAGTATCCAACAGATGGTAGAGCAGAAAAACAGAAAAGTGTTGAATATGGGGATGTGTAAGCATTTATGCAGATGCTACCGTTGCGCATGAATCCAAAGCTTTTGTGCCCGTCAACTTGGCAGTCAAGCCGCAAGCAGCTGTCAAATATGTCATTTACGCATCGGCGTTCGACTGCTGTTGCCACAACAGACACATGTTAAGCGCAGCACGCAAATTCTGCTTTTAGCGTTATTTGTAAATATGCGAAACTACAGTAAAAGCTGCGAAACATCGCCATATGGTAGCGGTAATTAAAAAGCCGATTTACATAATCGTTGATAAAATATCGATGAAAAATGTAATTTATCGTTCATACTTTGGAAAATGTATGACGTTACTTTAAGATTGCATAACTAATTTCATTTAGATCAGCAAAAATATGTAATGATTAACGAAGTCGTTAACAATTGATTAAACCTATATGTATCGATAAAAGTTTGTACAATAGTAGAAACTAATGATTGATATTTTGTACTGTGAAATAAAGATTTCATAAAAAATTATTTTGATGAAAAATATACAAATCGATTAATATTCTATGTGTCGATGATTGTGTATTTATCGATAAGCATTTATCGTTGAAACTAATGTTTTATATTTTTAAATGTGAGCTAAAGATTTAATAAAAAAATATTTTAAATTAAAAATATATGGAAACCGATTAGCATTGTATTTATCGATAATATTATATTTTTCGTTTAAACTAATATTGAAATTTTCTAATGTGACTTAAAGATTTCGTAAAAATAAATTTTTTTGGATAAAAAATATATTTAAAACGATTAATATTATATTTATCGACAAAAAATTATCGATTAAACTAATATTTAAAGCTTTCTAACGTGATTTAATTATTTCGTAAATAAATTATTTTAGATAAAAAAGTGTTTGTTGTAGGCTTTTCAGTCTCATTTTTGTGTGTATTGAGAAATATTGCTTCTATTTTTGATTTATTAAGACTTTGTAGTAAATCTTTGTAAATCTGACCCTATGTTTATTCTGCGATTTTTATCTACTGCGAATTATTTCTTCATTTTTTCGATTTACTTAGTTTTTATGATTATGCTGAGGGAAATATATTTTAGTATAGGATTGCTAACCAAGAAACATTTAAAGGCATATGGACAAAAAATATTATTTATCATTTTTAGAAATAATTTTTAAAAAAAGTTATACCATATATCGATGTAACCTAATTTAGTAATATATTTTAGTTGCTCATTTTGAGGTTGTCTCATTGTAGCTTTACTGTACTGCACTGTAAATAGAAATGCAATCTGTATGTATAAAATTGTTAAAATAATTAAATGTATTATATTTTCTTTGTTCACTATTGAGTGATTTTCCCATAACACCCACAAACAGACCGCTGGGTTGTTGCCACTGCGGCCATTCAAGTTCATTGAAACATTCCAGCGGTCGTAAAAATTTGCCGGAATGTTAAAAGCGAAAAATAAGCGTACAAATATTCGTCAGCACATACGTAAGTATATGTATATTTGAACCACATGTGGTTGCATTTTCACAAGTCAAATGAAACCTCAAAAATTTTTATGTAAAGCACAAAACATTCATGCAATAATATTTCAAAAATGGAGCAAGCATAGTTTTGGAACAAACTTCGCACGCCTCAACGCAATTTTGACAGCTGCTGGCATTTAAGCTGACTCTACGCGGCACATTGCAGGTTGTTCTTGTTGCATTTGTGCAGCACTGACAGTCTCAAATAACAGCAGCGTTAGCGCTTCTGTGCGCAGCCTAATTTTAATTGTGATTAAGCAATGTTGAACAATCGATTTGTTTGCGCTGTCTGCTGCAAGGAGTTCACACACATGTGTATACTTTTACATATATAAATGTATGTTACATATTGTATATTTTTTTATTATTTTTCTGGCGCTACATACGAAAGTTTGAAAACGCGACACACATGTTCAGGCGATGGGGGGTCGCTTAGGACACTCGTGTTGTCGGCTGGTGATGTGGTAAAACAATAAAATAAATAAAAATATTTAATAACGCGATGTGTGAATTTATGGGTCAAATAAGTGGTTTTCATGTGAGTGATAATCGTGATGGCATGAAATGGTGCAATAAATAATAATGTATGTGACTGAAAGTTAGTGACTGCAAGCTGATGGCCGTGCATATTTCATTACTAATGGAAAGTTAAAAAGTAAAAACAAGTATTTTCATTAGAAATAGCATCTTATGAAAATTTGGACTTTTTTTAAAAACTGTATTTTTGAAATTTTAAAAAATTTAATAATGAAATATGCACATCATTACCTATTGGAAAGTTAAAAAAATAATAAATAATTTTCTTTGGAAACAGCATTCTATCAAAAATTTTAAAACAAATTTTTAAAAAGGATACTAAAATATTATTTTTTTATATATTATTAATATTTTAAAATAGCTAAAAAGTGAACAACGAGTATAAATTGCTTGTATTTTTGAAAACATTTTCTTGCTAATAAATATTGCCTCCAAAGACTAATTTTTTATTAAAATAATTTTTTTTTTTTTAATTTTTGCAAATTATTATTTATTTATTTTTCATTCAAGAGCAAAAACAAGTTTTAACTGTTATTAAAAATTAAAAAAAAATATTTGAGGCATTTAAATTAATTTAAAATTCTTAAAATTAAATTTTCAAAAATTTCAAATACCCAAACCCTGTACTAATTTCGTACTCTGTTTCAATTCCAGATCTCACACTAGCTGAAATCGAACCTAAATTGGAGATTTTTCCCATGCAAGGTGTGCAACGCAAACCAGTTGGCAAATCACTGATTTTAACCTGCAAACCAATAGTGCCCGATCCGAATTTGGTATCCGATCTGCAATGGAAGGACAATTTGAACAATACTATACTGCCGAAACCGTAAGTACAAAACAAATCGCTACACAAATGTATATATATATTTTGATATTTTATATAATATTTTCACTAAAAGAATTATTAAAAAAATGTATTATAGTGTAGGGTATAAAATCCATTTCAAAATGACCTTTAAATAATTGTGCTCTCACTTAACTTTCCCTTAAATATTTTTTGAAAATTGCTGACCTGTATATATTGTAAAATAAAAACTAAAAAGTAATTAACTATCGATTTAGTCATTATTCTAAGTACTTATAAATATTATAACTCTTTTACAAAAATAAAATTACTAAGCTAAAATTTTTAAATTATTTCAAAGCAAACTACAGCTGAAAGTAGTTACATAAACTGGTACATGAGGTTTTGTTGAGATTTGGTTTGAAGATGAATTAAAAAGCCTCACTTTTATCCAAAAATACGTATTAAAATAGTACTAAATAATTTAATTTATCAAAAAGTTCTACGAGAATATTAAACTTTTTCACTAAGCTGACTTATTAAAAACTAAATATAAACTTATTTTCTACCCTAGTATTCCAAAAAAAATTATTTCGCGTATGTTTAGAAATTATACAAATAATTGCATTTTTCTACGAGAATATTCAACTTTTTCACCAAACTCATTCCTTATTCGCTACCCTCGTATTCCACAAAAAAATTTATTTCGCGTATGTTTAGCGATTATACAAGTAATAGCATTATGCTACGATATTATTCAACTTTTTCACCAAACTGAGAACTTATTTTCTACCCTAGTATTCTACAAAAAAAATTATTTCGCCTATGTTTAGCGATTTTACAACTATCAACATTAAGAAATTAAAATTTTTAAATTTTTTTTATAATATAATATCTTTTAGATTAATAAACAAAAATATTCCTAGGCTATTGTACATAAGTATCGAATATATGTACATATACTTATACTATCCAAACTTTTTCCATATCTCCAAAAACATTTCTTTACCGCTTTTTTACCAAACCACAAGTTGTTTTGATTACTCCAGGCCAATTACATGCATTTTATACAAAAAATTATTCAAGTTTCTATATTATTTTTAAAAAAAATATATAACAATACAAAATAAGCACACATTATATTTATATAAAAAGATTAAATATCTATATTTCTGTATATTTAATTTGCGTTATTAATTTTTTATTCTCTTATTACAATCTTTTTTATAAATTTAGGAACAAATACTATTATCCACTGTATGATTCCAAAGGACGTAGATTACCCGCTGTGTAAGTGTACAACACTCACTATCTCTTTCGCTCCGCAAATTGTGCGCCTTACGCTAACGTTTGTGTGCCTAAAATGAATGAGTCATGTTTAGTTTTTGATTTTTTGTTATTGTTGTGGTATCACCTTTTGAAGCAAGCATCTTAGTTACGTACCTTAACTCTCATTCAGCGATAAACAAACTCAACTTTTGAGAAATATAATGAAATAGTTTGCAATCTTTAGCGGCACCGTCACCTGAGGCATGCCCCTAATTCCATTTTCTTACCGCGCACACAAACCACTATTGCGACTCTGTAGGCTTGCACGCCATTAATATGCCATGTTGCGAAAAAATATAGCTAATTTAGCTAATTGTCGTTGTAGACAGTTTACGACTTCATTAACGATATATGGTAAACTAGCGACAAAAGATATAATAACAAGCATATATCCGTTAACATGCGTAGTCTGGCGCCAGTGTAACTAAAACAAATATAACTGTAGTTCCTAGGGTAATGTAAAAGCAACGCTGCGTTGCATTTTTATTAATGATTATCTCGTTAGCTTTGCACGTGACATACTGTTTGCGTTAATTTTGAGTTACGAACTAAAATTTGCTGTTATTTTATTGTTGATTTCTTGTTTTATATGTTTTTAATGCATTTTTAAGGCAAACTTATTTATAGTAATCATAATTTTTCATGTTGTTTAAACTTCTGTTTCCTTGCCAACTTTTTATAAAACTAAATTTATTAATTCTCATTATCATTAAACAAATTAGATACAGTATTTCAAAAAACTATTTATCACAGATATTTTAGAATTTTAGTGCCTTTATTTCAAGTAGTGCCTATAATTAACAATATTTGAAAAACAAATTACCTAAAAATGCATCTGCAGTTTTAGCGCCTAAATATTATTATCATTTACATTTTCAATTCAACTAAACATTCCCATAATAATTTTAGTTTACTTAACATCTTCAAACTCAACTCTACTCAACACTAAATTTAACGAGTAATTTAGCGCATTTAATACCTTTACATATTTCACTACAACCAAGTAATATAATAATTAATTATAATCCCGTAAGTGCGTATTTAGCCATGCAAGTACTACACGCTCCTGCTCACCGCAATCACTCGCCATTTGTGGCTCGTCTTTCATTCATGCTCGCCAAATTCATTTCCAATTCACTTACAACAGTTATGCGATAATCTCCTTGGCGAATACATTCACAGTGGAATTAGTTTACTAACACTACATATGCGAATGTCAAACATTTCTAAGCATCATAAGTAATTTGACTTATATGCATATTGTATAAGCATTTATTTATTAAGCGAAAATTGTCTATGAAATGTTTGCCAAAATTTGCATTAAAATAACTGAAATTTCACTTCTTAATTTTTATTCATACATTTGCTTTGTTTTGCATTGTATTTTAATTTATATTTTAACAAAATCTCTATTATTAATATAAAATATAGCTATAAGGTCGACCTAAAATATTTTACACAATTCTAAATATTTGATTTAAAAAAAAAAAAATCTTGCTTCAATTCAGTCAGCCAGAAGTATTACGTTTCTAAAATCAAAAAATATAACTTAAAGCTTTTCTTATCGTTACGTCGTAAAACATATTATAAGCATATAATTAGACATTGCATACAAATTATATTAGAAAATTACGTCTTTTTTGTACTCGCTGTAAGATGTAAACTTTATAACAGAATTTATGGCAAGACTTCTTGTAGTACATTATAGATAAAATAAAAGACAAACTTTGTTATGAAATATTTCTCATTCATAACAGGACCTTACATCATTTTCAAGTAGCATGAAGAAAATAAATATTTGTGCATTTATTCCGTAAAAAACAACTACATAAAGAATCTAAAATATACTCAAGTGAATGAGTTAAAGTTATTCGCTCAGTAATTATGAAACAAATACAAAGCTAAATAAACTGATTTTCATCATTTCAGTATCAAATGTGAAAATATACTTAAATTAAACTTTCCTTGATTAGAGAAGATTTGGAATGCAGAAAGAGTAAATAAATCATAAACAAATATGAATTCAGCATAAAAATCAGCCAGAGAGTAATTTAGAAACTAAATACTCACTGAGAGAGGAAGTCAGCGACTGACGAGAAAAAATATTTCGGTCCTTCTATTTACTATGGTCACTCTCACATTCATACATCCTGCGACAATCTAAAGATAATAATTATCCCACACTCATTCCTTATTTTTTTGCGGAGTTTTTTAGTTCTGATCAGAAATGACAAAGTAGCATTTGATCGACAATTTACCTAACATTTGTTCATTCGTACCATATGTAGCGTTGCTCCTCTCTCACAGTTCGCTGAAGTCTCTCAAAAATGTTTCTCCAAATTGAGTACGGTGTGAAGTCTTATAACTTGGATATAACCAAACTCTTAGCTAATTTGCTGTCAAATTAGAACTCGAACTAAGGTTCTATCAAAAGTGAAAGTATAGAAAGAAACAGCAGCTCTGATATTGTTGTTATAGGGTTACCAAATATATTCCAAGTAATTTGGGTGTGTGCTACCAAGTGCACAGCCCTTGTGGACACCCCTTGTGGACACCCCTTGTGGACATCGTGAAAATCTCGTTACTGTTTACAACTCTCTCTCTCAAGATTTGTTAGTATTCACAGTTAGTATGTGTAACTCACAGTATGTAATAGTGTTTTAGTGTTAGTATGTAATAGAAGAGTATTTTAAACAAATTTGAGTTTATGTAATCGCTTTCTGATAGCTGCTGTAGCTAAAAGCGTTAACTGCCACCCTATGGATTGTATGTTCAAAACGAGGCATATGCTCAAACTCTATTATAGCTTCGATTTTCTAACTTGCGTAATCCTCTCCCACTCTCTCCCTATGTCTTAGTAAATTTAACGGTATTTATTGGCATTTTTGGATATTTTTGATTTTTTCATTATACATATATGATATTAATTTTTGCAACACTTTCATTTTCGGAAAACTTTTTTTTCCTAAAAATTTTAGCAGCTTAAAAAGTATGTTTAAGAGCGTATTATTTCCAAACGAAAGCTCATATCACTCAATACAATTAGGCATAATATAATTTTATTTTATTTAGTGCAATAAATGCTACCGTTATAAAAAATAGTATTTTACATTTGTGCAATGAGCAAATCGACCAAATGCAAAAATATACAATTCAATGCGCCTTTAAAAGTTTGCTACAAATAACAATTTAGCTGGCTGTTTGCCAAAATTCGATTATTATGTAAAGGCATAATTTCGCAGTTAGTGCAATTATGTAACTACAAAACAGTAATAAACGTATTTAAAGAAACACTGCAATTAAAATATGCAAATTGGTTAACGTTAGTAAATTGTGTGTGAAGCTAAGCGTTTCTAGAAGCTCATTTCATGCGCTTTGCTCTTTCAAGCGTATATTTTTTCAGTAAATTGAAATTGCCGAAATACTGGCAATTGAAATTGCAGCTTATTCAAATACCAATAGAATTTGTTAAATTCTGTTATTTAAACACTGAATTATTAAAAATGTACATAAAATCTATATATGGAATGAAATTAAATGTTTAAACCTAAATGTAATATGTGCAGCAAAAATAGTTATTATTCTTTGGATTCAGTGATAAATATTTTAAAATTCAAATTTCACGCATAAATTTGTATAAACAATTTCAAACTGCTGGCAATCTTACTCCGAAAAAATTCACACATTCCGACAGTAATTTTTATTAAATTAGTTTCTACCGAGTTCTTTAGTATAAAATTTTTAATTTAATTTTAGTATGATTTTATAAAAACGAGGTGCTAGACGAGCTCCGGAATTAATTTAACTGCAAGCTTCCTCAAACATCTTCAGTTGAATACTGATATTTTACTAAACTATGAACTAAATCAATTTAGTTGCAGAAACAACATCTGGCAACCCTCCAAATTTTTTTTTTATATTTAAGCTTTTTCAACCTCACTAATATGATATCCCTATTATTATATTTACTGATTAATACAATTTAAGTAAAATAGTCGATAACAAAAATCGACAGCGAAAACCAGCTGGCAACACTAATAAGATTATTTTCAACTAAATTCTTTTGTAAATCCTACAGTTTCACAGCGTTATTGTCAATGTTTATTAGTTTCATCTATTCGATTAAACAAAACATGTGTGACAACTCCACTCAATTTTATATTAAACAGAAAATTGGTCGTAACTCTCCCCAAAAATATTGTTAAGCGTCAGCCGCTTGATACTCATTTCAAAAAGCTTATCTAAAAGCTGATCTAATAAATCTGTACACAAGTGGCAACCCTACACAAAATAAAGAAATGAAAAATAGTTCTCCTCAATTTGTTAGCTACATTGTATAGTTTTACTTTGCTAAACATATCGTACCATTTTATCAATTTATTTGATTTGTTTAATTCTAATTTTAACCTATTATTAATTATTGGAGCAAAAACAGGTGGTAACGCTCCTCAGAAATATAATCAAATGTAATTTTTCTCAAATATCCTCATTGTGATCGTCATATAATTACATTTAATTTACTTTATGAATCTGATTAAATTGAATGTTTAAACAGATGGCAACACTGCTTTAAAAATAGTATCAAATCAAGAGATTTATTGAACTTAATTAATTTTTGATCTTGTCGAGTGAGGTGTATTATTTTTCTAATTTAATGCACCAATAACAGGTGGCAACTCTCCTGAAACATAAAAAGTTAACTTAAGTTCTAAAAATGCTTAACTTCAATCAAAAGCTTAGTATAGCCGCATAATCGCTTGCTAATATTGTCGAATTTAAAATTTTGCGTATGTATGTATGCAAGTGTAAGCCGCACAAATATTTCTACAGTTAAAAATTCAATAGCGTTACAAACAATGCTGCCCAGCACCAGTTTCACGCATACATTGCCACGCTTTCCGTCATAAATCAGATTTATTGCGGATTTAGTTCAGCGCTCCCAACTGAGCTGCACTGACCTG